AGGAGTCCCATCAGAATTTCGCAACAAGGTGTTTTGATTTGTGGTTACTCCTCTGTCAGGGGCACCTAATGGTGCTTTCTATCCAACATTGAACTTAACTTTGTATTTACTGTCCGTAGTACAGGTTCACTTTAAATAACTTTTCTCCTCTCCTGTTTTAGAGTATTTGTTTAGAAACCTTTTGCAGTAACTGGCACAGTAAAATACCATCTGTCTGTTCCCTGTTCTCTCTTCTTTGAATGGCATATTTTGCCAAAATGTTTAACATTTTCTGAAAGTTAACACATTCACAATTTGTTATAGCTACCAGCCAAATACCTGTAGACAATACATTTTATTTGGATTTTTTTTTTTAATTGTTCATCATGTGTGTTTATTAGCAGTGGTAGCTTTGGTTTTGTTTTTTGTTTTTTTTTTAGATATTAACTATGTAAAGTTTGAAAATAATTGAACATTAGTGGCAGTTGGCCTATAAATTGCTAGCAGTCCTGATGCCTTTATACTGCATCTTAACTGTGTCTCTCACCTGCCAACATGGAGTCGAGGTCTGAAGTGACATTAACCTTGTGAAACTGTAAATTGCCCTCTTGTTTCTAATAGCCCTCTCATCATAACCTGATGAGCTATTTTGTTTTTCTAAAAATTGAAATGCTGCAGGTCTTGATTATCTGGAGATCTTTAATTGCAGATTTAACCTGCCTAGTAAAATTTGGTATTGAGTGGAACAGCCATAACATACTTCACATGGCTACCTTTTTAATTTTTGGTAAAACTTTAGTTTTCCAAGTACTTCAGATGAAAGCAGGATGGGGTGTTACAGTTAACCCTCCATGTTACTACACCAAAACCCAAATCAAAGAAAAGATTGAATTTGTTCTATCTTAGGAAAATTCAAAAACAAAGCAGTAGGTTTGCTTAGGGAAAATGTTGGCACAGTTGTAACACATGGGTGCAACAGTAAGAAGTTGTAATATTGTAAAGGCAAATTATAGAATTTACTAAGGTTACCATGGCACATTGTACACATTTTTTAAAGAGAATGTACAGGTAAGTTTCTTTGAATTTGTTATTTTTGTAAATGGAAAATAACTATGAAATGGAACACCAGCCAAATCTTTTTTTTTCACTTTTGCAAAAAATAAAGCATCTCAGATTCTGTAACCCCTCACTTCCTGTTCTGGTGTCCATTTATGAATTGAGGGGAAATCTAACCTTGCGCCATTCTACTAAAATGTTACAAAACAGAGGTTCAAATTCTTCGTCAAACTGATTAAAGTAAGAAGTTGAAATATTGTAAATGAAATCATGGCAAATGCTAGAATTTACTAATAAGGTTACAATGGCACATTGTACATGGTTTTTAAAGAGAAGGTACAAGTACATTTCTTTAAATTAATAATTTGTGTAAATACCAAATAATTATGAAATGGAACATCAGCCAAATCTTTTCTTTCACTTTTGCATAAAATAGTCAGAACATCTTGTTTCCTTTTGCGTCCCCTCTGGGGATAGTACTACTCACTTCTCATTCAGGTGTCCACTTATGAAATGAAGGGAAATCCCCTGACCTTGCCTCAGTCTACTAATATGTTATAAAAACATCCCTAAACTGATAAAAACGTTAATATGGATTTTTACATGGATTTGTTTATATGGCTCATATAATGAGATGGCATTTTATTGGGTGGACTCTTGCATTTCAGAAACAGTAACATCAAGTATTTACAGTTGTGTTCAAAATGATAGCAGTCAGACATCACTAACTTGATCAATCACTGTTTTTGGTAGAAATTATATTTCTACATGGCAAATAATTTACTAGCAGGTGTAGCAGAGTAATAGAAATCCAACAGACCCAACAGTCATGACATGCATGCTGCTGATTCTGTGTAATTGAATCACTAATTGAAAGGGGCATGTTCAAAATAATAGCAGTGTGGAGTTCTATTAGTGAAGTCATTCATTCTTTGAAAAACAGCTGCCAACTATTGCCCTTATTTAAGGAAGTAAGGCAGCAAATATTGTACATGCTGGTTACAGTGCATTTCTCTCTGAAATTCTGAGGAAAATGGATCTGTCAGGGCTCCCAGGTGTGACCAGAGGTGTGTGGCTGACGCAGGGAAACGCAGACCTCAGATATGTTATAAACAATATAATTTATTAACACTAACAATACAAACATAAACGCAGTGCAATACTAAAACATAATACAGTGCAACCAAACCAAACCAAACCAAACCAACCACCCACAGATAACAGTACATACAAGCAAGCGTCGTCAGGCAGGCCAGGTCAATATCAATAGGGCAGGTAGGTACAGGGGGAGCAAGCGGAGATTGGTCGGGGTCACAGGCCAGTTCAGCAGGTAGCAAGCAGCGTAGTACAGAGGGTCAGGCAGAGGGATGGTCAGGGTCACAAGCCAGGGATCAGAACAGGTAGCAAGCAGCGTAGTACAGAGGGTCAGGCAGAGGGATGGTCAGACAAGCCAGGGATCAGAGCAGGGTCAGCAGAGAATCAGACAGGAACAGAGAGCAGGAACAGGATACAGGGCCCAAGAGAACACAACACCAAGGCAGAGTCTGCAAGTCTGGCCATCCCTTAAATACCCCAGCATAATCAGTTCCAGGTGTTAGCTGGCTGCAAAGTTGAGTCTCTGATTGCTGGGAGCACCCGCTGGCCAGCCCTGGTACTGCAGATCAAAAGGCAGGTGAGTCCCACCATTGCTGGCTAGTCCATTCCTGACAGTACCCCCCCTCAAGGAGCGGCCTCAGGACGCTCCAAACAGTCCTAGCTGGGCAAAATGTTCCACCGCCCGGGTCTGGTAACTGGCGGGATATCAAAGACTGGCACACCGGGCAGGACTCCGGGCAGCGGCACACCGGGCAGGGGCACACCGGGCAGAGGCACATCGGGCAGGACTCCGGGCAGAGGCACATCGGGCTGGACTCCGGGCAGAGGCACATCGGGCTGGACTCCGGGCAGAGGCACATCGGGCTGGACTCCGGGCAGAGGCACATCGGGCTGGACTCTCCGGGCAGAGGCACATCGGGCTGGACTCCGGGCAGAGGCACATCGGGCTGGACTCCGGGCAGAGGCACATCGGGCTGGACTCCGGGCAGAGGCACATCGGGCTGGACTCCGGGCAGAGGCACATCGGGCTGGACTCCGGGCAGAGGCACATCGAGCAGGACTCCGGGCAGAGGCACATCGGGCCGGACTCCGGGCAGAGGCACATCGGGCCGGACTCCGGGCAGAGGCACATCGGATTACCAGGCGGAGCAGCAGGCACCGGGCCCCCGGGCGGGGCGGCAGGCACCGGGCCCCCGGGCGGAGCGGCAGGCACCGGGCCCCCGGGCGGAGCGGCAGGCACCGGGCCCCCGGGCGGGGCGACAGGCATCGGGCCCCCAGGCGGGGTGACAGGCATCGGGCCCCCAGGCGGGGCGACAGGCATCGGGCCCCCAGGCGGGGCGACAGGTCTCGGGCCCTCGGCGGGGCGGCGGGCGCCGGGCCCCCAGGCGGAGCGACAGGTCTCAGGCCCCCAGGCGGAGCGACAGGTCTCGGGCCCTCAGGCGGAGCGGCGGGCGCCGGACCCCCAGATGGCGCGACAGGTCTCGGGCCCTCAGGCGGGGCGGCGGGAGCCGGACCCCCAGGTGGAGCGACAGGTCTCGGGCCCTCAGGCGGAGCGGCGGGCGCCGGACCCCCAGGTGGAGCGACAGGTCTCGGGCCCCCAGGCGGAGCGACAGGTCTCGGGCCCCCAGGCGGAGCGGCAGGCGCCAGACCCCCAGATGGAGCGACAGGTCTCGGGCCCTCAGGCGGAGCGGCGGGGCGCCGACCCCCAGATGGAGAGACAGGTCTCGGGCCCTCAGGCGAAGCGGCGGGCACCGAGTCACCAGGCACGACAGTGGGCACCGAGTCAACTGGCGGAACAGCGGGCATCGAGTCAACTGGCGGAACTGCGGGCACCGAGTCGTCTGGCAAGACTGCGAGCATCGAGTCAACTGGCGGAACAGCGGGCATCGAGTCAACTGGCGGAACTGCGGGCACCGAGTCGTCTGGCAAGACTGCGGGCATCGAGTCAACTGGCGGAACAGCGGGCACCGAGTCGTCTGGCAAGACTGTGGGCACCGAGTCGTCTGGCAAGACTGCGGGCATCGAGTCAACTGGCGGAACAGCGGGCACCGAGTCGTCTGGCAAGACTGCGGGCACCGAGTCGTCTGGCAAGACTGCGGGCACCGAGTCGTCTGGCAAGACTGCAGGCACCGAGTCGTCTGGCAAGACTGCGGGCACCGAGTCAACTGGCGGAACAGCGGGCATCGAGTCAACTGGCGGAACTGCGGGCACCGAGTCGTCTGCCAAGACTGCGGGCATCGAGTCAACTGGCGGAACAGCGGGCACCGAGTCGTCTGGCAAGACTGCGGGCACCGAGTCGTCTGGCAAGACTGCGGGCATCGAGTCAACTGGCGGAACAGCGGGCACCGAGTCGTCTGGCAAGACTGCGGGCACCGAGTCGTCTGGCAAGACTGCGGGCATCGAGTCAACTGGCGGAACAGCGGGCACCGAGTCGTCTGGCAAGACTGCGGGCACCGAGTCGTCTGGCAAGACTGCGGGCATCGAGTCAACTGGCGGAACAGCGGGCACCGAGTCGTCTGGCAAGACTGCGGGCACCGAGTCGTCTGGCAAGACTGCGGGCACCGAGTCAACTGGCGGAACAGCGGGCATCGAGTCAACTGGCGGAACAGCGGGCACCGAGTCGTCTGGCAAGACTGCGGGCACCGAGTCGTCTGGCAAGACTGCGGGCACCGAGTCGTCTGGCAAGACTGCGGGCACCGAGTCATCTGGCGAGACTGCGGGCACCGAGTCGTCTGGCAAGACTGCGGGCACCGAGTCGTCTGGCAAGACAGTGGGCATCGAGTCAACTGGCGGAACAGCGGGCACCGAGTCGTCTGGCAAGACTGCGGGCACCGAGTCGTCTGGCAAGACTGCGGGCATCGAGTCAACTGGCGGAACAGCGGGCACCAAGTCGTCTGGCAAGACTGCGGGCACTGAGTCGTCTGGCAAGACTGCGGGCACCGAGTCAACTGGCGGAACAGCGGGCATCGAGTCAACTGGCGGAACAGCGGGCATCGAGTCGTCTGGCAAGACTGTGGGCACCAAGTCGTCTGGCAAGACTGCGGGCACCGAGTCGTCTGGCAAGACTGCGGGCACCGAGTCGACTGGCAAGACAGTGGGCTCCGAGTCAACAGGCACGACAGTGGGGCACCGGGTCATCAGGTATCGGATTGTCTGGCTCGACAGCGGGCATCGGGTCACCAGGTATGACAGCGGGCACTGGGTCACCAGGCATCAGGTCATTTGGCTTGCCAGCGGGCACCGTGTCATCTGGCAAGGCAGTGGGCACCGGGTCACCAGGTATGACAGCGGGCTCTGAGTCAATTGGCACGACAGCGGGCACTGGATCAGGTACCGGATCATCTGGATCAACAGCGGGCATCGAGTCAACTGGCCTAATAGGATCGTCGGGCTGGATCAGTTCATCATGCTGAGTAGCGGCATCAGGCTGAAGAGAGGCATCAGGCTGAAGAGAGGCATCAGGCTGAAGAGAGGCATCAGGCTGAAGAGAGGCATCCGGCTGAAGAGAGGCATCCGGCTGAAGAGAGGCATCCGGCTGAATGCAGGCATCAGGCTGAGTAGAGGCTTCAGGCTGAGTAGAGGCTTCAGGCTGAGTAGAGGCTTCAGGCTGAGTAGAGGCTTCAGGCTGAGTAGAGGCTTCAGGCTGAGTCACGGAAGGCAGGTTCACCGGTTTGGATACTGGCAGGATGGTACTGGTTGGAAAGAATTTTCACTTTTTTTGGTTTTAACTACTGGAGCACTGCAAGTAAACGCAGGTCTGCAAACGAATGGAGCAGCTGGAGACAGAGAAAAACTGGAGGATGGAACAGGAGAGGGAGCAGTTGCTACAGAGGGCTTTTTTACAGGGTTAAAGGCAGGATAGGTGCAGCGAGTGGGAACAGGGTACTGACATGCGGTAGATAGCCAAGTATACTGGGCTGTAACTGGAGGAGCTGTTGGGAATACAGGAGTAGAGTTAGAAGCAGGACTGGGTTTTTGTAAGCTGACTGAGGCTGGGTGCATGCAACAAGTCTGTCCATGTCTGCAGTAGGGGTTGAACAAAGCTGAGCTTACACAAAGCCTGTCTGGTCAATGACTGCACTGCGTTTATACAATCTCTTAGTGTCTGTGGTGAACATGTGGAATAACGCTCCAGAAAGTAACCCACATCATCCTCTAATAACCATACCAGGGACTCTACCTGGTCGGCACTAAATGGCGGCAAAAATTCATCCCTGCATTTGGGGGAACCAGATGAAACCAACTCAGCACAAACCTCAATCAAAGGCTGCACCTCAGAGAACTCTGTGCCCTGATCTACTAGAACATGAGCGAGCCGTATACATTCTAGTAGTTGATCCCTGGGATACTCCTTCAGAGTTTGATAAGCATACTCCCTGTCATCAAACACTAGCAGATATAAATACACAACCTCATCCAGATCCATCCTTCCCAGCAACAAGCCAAGATGGCTTCCCTGTGCAGCCACTTCTGGTCAGGATTGGCCTTGGTGTAATGTCAGGGCTCCCAGGTGTGACCAGAGGTGTGTGGCTGACGCAGGGAAACGCAGACCTCAGATATGTTATAAAACAATATAATTTATTAACACTAACAATACAAACATAAATGCAGTGCAATACTAAAACATAATACAGTGCAACCAAACCAAACCAACCACCCACAGATAACAGTACATACAAGCAAGCGTCGTCAGGCAGGCCAGGTCAATATCAATAGGGCAGGTAGGTACAGGGGGAGCAAGCGGAGATTGGTCGGGGTCACAGGCCAGGTTCAGCAGGTAGCAAGCAGCGTAGTACAGAGGGTCAGGCAGAGGGATGGTCAGGGTCACAAGCCAGGGATCAGAACAGGTAGCAAGCAGCGTAGTACAGAGGGTCAGGCAGAGGGATGGTCAGACAAGCCAGGGATCAGAGCAGGGTCAGCAGAGAATCAGACAGGAACAGAGAGCAGGAACAGGATACAGGGCCCAAGAGAACACAACACCAAGGCAGAGTCTGCAAGTCTGGCCATCCCTTAAATACCCCAGCATAATCAGTTCCAGGTGTTAGCTGGCTGCAAAGTTGAGTCTCTGATTGCTGGGAGCACCCGCTGGCCAGCCCTGGTACTGCAGATCAAAAGGCAGGTGAGTCCCACCATTGCTGGCTAGTCCATTCCTGACAGGATCGTTCCAGACATTGTTTAGAAGAACAGCGTACCTTGATTAAAAAGTTGATTGGAGAGGGGAAAACATATAAAGAAGTGCAGTAAATGATAGGCTGCTCAGCTAAAATGATCGCAAATGCTTTAAAATGGCAACCAAAACCTGAAAGACGTGGAAAAAAGTGAAAAACTACCATTCAAATGGATAGAAGAATAGCCAAAATGGCAAGGACTCAGCCAACAATCAGCTCCAGGAAGATCAAAGAAGGTCTAAAGTTACCTGTGAGTACTGTTACAATTAGAAGACGCCATGTGAAGCCAAGCTATCTGCAAGAAGCCCCCACAAAGTCCCACTGTTGGAAAAAAGACATGTGCTGAAGAGGTTACAATTTGCCAAAGAGCACATTGACTGGCCTAAAGAGAAATGGCGCAACATTTTGTGGACTGATGAAAGTAAGATTGTTCTTTTTGGGTCTAGTGGCCGGAGGCAGTTTGTCAGACGACCCCCAAACACTGAATTCAAGCCACAGTACACTGTGAAGACAGTGAAGCATGGTTGCGCAAGCATCATGATATGGGGATGTTTCTCATACTACGGTGTTGGGCCTATTTATCGCATACCAGGGATCATGGATCAGTTTGAGTACATCAGAATACTTGAAGAGGTCATGCTGCCTTATGCTGAAGAGGAAATGCCCTTGAAATGGGTGTTCCAACAAGACAACGACCCCAAACACACCAGTAAATGTGCAACATCTTGGTTCCAGACCAACAAGATTGACGTGATGGAGTGGCCAGCCCAATCCCCGGATCTTAATCCAATAGAAAACTTGTGGGGGTGACATCAAAAATGCAGTTTCTGAGGCAAAACCAAGAAATAGAGAAGAACTGTGGAATGTAGTCCAATCATCCTGGGCTGGAATACCTGTTCACAGGTGCCAGAAGTTGGTTGACTCCATGCAACACAGATGTACAGCAGTTCTCAGAAACAGTGCTTATACAACTAAATATTAAGTGATTGAAAGGAAAGCAAAATCTTCAAACATTTTTCAGTTTATATAGTGAATGTTTGAGTTTGTAAAGAAGAATACAAACACTGCTATTATTTTTAACAGTCTAATATTCACTTTTCTTCAATTTCTTTAGAGGAACAACACAAATTTGTACATTTTTCTTCATGTTTTGATTTGGAATAGAATGTGTAGTGTTCCCAATGCATTTGTGTGTATGGAAATAAAAGCTATTAGAAGGATTTTGAGCTTTATTCACTTTTTTCAACACACTGCTATTATTTTGAACACAACTGTAGATGTGCCTCTGCTCATTATTGAAGTTTACAATGCACTGTATTTGTTTCTACAGGTGACAGACATGATGCTTCAGGACAGTCAATACCCATACTGGGGTAAATCTGCGAGAGCTTTCTGGAGGAGGGGGAACATCCGGATAGTTTTGTTCTGGTAAGCTTATGTCACGATCATATTTAAGAGATCCTATAACTATAGAAACACTTTAAACATGCAGCTGTTCACCAGACCGTAGTCAGGTATTGTTTGGTTAATGTTACAATGTCATAACAACTTTCGAAGTACAGATGGGTAGAATATTTATCCCTCGTGTTTAGACAACTCCATCTAGCTTCTGTGCAACTGATACCATTTTATGCAAAAGAGGTATTTAAATAGAAGACACCACAACTGCTGAATTTCCACTTCTAATTATGCCCCAGGCACCTCCAGATAAGTTCATACAGTGTTCAGCTTCCAACTGCTATGGTTCATTCAAGGTGAGCCATACAACATTAAAAATGCACAGTCTTGTGAGTCATTCAGAGAGTTATGCCCTCCTCTACCCTATTTTCCTAATATTTTTCATTTAGCTTAACCACTTGTCTACCGGGCACTTATACCCCCTTGGTGCCCAGGCCAGTTTTCAGCTTTCAGCGCTGTCGCACTTTGAATGACAATTGCGCAGTCATGCGAGACTGTACCCATATGACATTTTTATCATTTTTTTCACACAAATAGAGCTTTCTTTTGGTGGTAGTTAATCACCACTGGGTGTTTTATTTTTTTTGTGTTATAAACAAAAAAAGAGCAAACATTTTGAAAAAAATGTTTTTCCTTGTTTCTATTACAAAATTTTGCAAACAGGTAATTTTTCGCCTTCACTGATATACGTTGATGAGGCTGCACTGATAGGCAGCTCTGATGGGCACTGATGGGTGGCACTGCTGGGCAGCACTGCGGGGTGGCACAGCTGGACACAGGTGGGTGGCACTGATGAGAACAGATGGGTGGCACTGCTAGGCACAGGTGGGTGGCACTGATGGGCACAGGTGGGTGGCACTGCTAGGCACAGGTGGGTGTTACTGCTGGGTACAGGTGGGCGGCACTGATGGGCACTGGTGGGTGGCAATGCTGGGCACTGATGATCAGAGCACTGATGATCAGTGCTGATCACTTCTCTGACAATTGCTGGTTCTTGGCAGTACTTTTCTTATGCTGTGACAGCGTGAGGAAAGTGCAGCCGATAACCGGCAACTACATTTACCGGTGATCTACTGTGTCATTGGACACAGCTGATCACGTGGTAAAAGGCTGCCGTGATTGGTTGTTTACCGTATTCCATGATGAGCTGTGTCCGTAGGACACAGCGATTACCGGTGGCGCTGGGTGCGGGCCGCTGGGGGCGTGCAGGGGGAGTGTTCTGGAATGACGTTCATGGACGTCGTCCCAGAACCAGACAACCACGCTGTAAAGGTCCTTCGGCTATAGCGCAGTAGGGAACTGGCTAAAGAGTACATTTGTTGGGGAAAAAACATTCCAGCTGGGTGATCTATGTACATTGTATAGGTGTTAACATACTTTAATGCAGAGTCCTACCTGCTTCTGCTCTGAAGGAATAGCTCTTTGTTGTATAATGTCTTGTGCAGGACTGATTCTGAATGGCGTTTTCATTTTTGATCAGCTGATGCACTTGTAGGGCTCTAATGAAAAAAGTGGTAGGGTATGTGGTAAAAGTGATTAACACTTTAGGAGCATCTCACCAAAACTGAAGTTTTTTTTGCACGTGTAGCACACTGTAGGGGCGGGAGCCTTTCCAACCAAAAGCCCCGGGACTTCCTGGAGAGAGGAGAGAGACTGTGTGAGAGGGTCCCTGTCTGCAGTTACCAGATATCCTGTTCTTTTCTCAGTAAACTTTGCATCACACTTTACCACCTGCAACACAGGCTTCT